TAGTTTTTAGTATTTTTTAGTTAAATATTTTAAAAGTTTATTAGTTCACTTTTAATTTTAAATGATATTAGATAAAATTTTTGTTATATTCTTTTGTGTTGTTTTACATTTAAGTGAAATTCCTATAGTTATAGTAATTTTATAATAATTACCTTTAAGAAATTAGGAAGTTAATTTGTAAAACAATAATGTATGTTTATAAAGAAATACAATTATAAAAATAACTAATAAAAATTTTTTACTCAGTTATTAAGCATATAGTTATTTTATATATCATTATATCAAATTAATAAAAACATAATATAAAAAATACTTTGATTATAAGCTTAAGCTGTTTTAGCTTCAATGCGTAGTTAAAATGTTATTTATTTTTTTCTGCTGTGTATTTTTTATGACACAATTACCGATTTTGCCCAACAATACGTCAAAAGATCACAAAATGTATTTAGCTGAAGCTATTAGTGCCATAATTTTGAAAAATTCCTATCAATCTCTTTAATAAAGAAAAATATCTCAGAAAATTATAATCCTTATAAAACAAGCCAGTTGAAAACCAAAAACACCTAAAAAATTTGATAATATGGTACTACGATTGTTTAATACAAGTTTTTCTTACAAGTTTTCCACTATATTATAGTAGAAACATGATTACTAAACTATTATGTAAATTTACTAGAATGAAAGATTGTAGATATTCTTTAATTTGAATATTTTACTAACAATATTTTGATTGTTTTATTTATTTATATTAATACATTATAAATTACTATTTTTAATATAATACCTTACTAGTGTATGTAATGCGTGCGAATTGTGATTTTTATCGACTACTTTTTATTATTAAATAATATAAATTTAAAGTAAATAAATAAGCCTTATCTGTTTAATTTAGGTGCTATTCATGTAACATAAAAGTTGAAAAACATTTTGTCGATCTATTATTTTGATCGAAAATATAGCTAAAAATATTACATCCTCTAAAAAAAAAATAAAAGAGAAGGCATCACAGTTGTGATTTTAAAAACGCTCTTATTATTTGAAGATGCCTAGATTAGAATGGAATTTTCAGTGGCAATATTTAAAACAAGTATCTTACTTTCAACATATTTTTTTGAAAATCCTATCAAATTCCAAAGCCTGGGAAGGAGCTTAATCATCATGTCAAGTTTATTTCTTTTCAATTTTTAATAATGTTCTTGAAAAGCTGACTTATTTAACCTACATAAAATTCAAGTCAATCCAAAGTCCTTTAAGAGTACTTATTTTTGAGATATATTCCACAAATTATCTCCGGGGTAATTTCATATAAAAAATATTTGTGTTTTTATTAGTTAAGAATTGCGTCCTAAAATAAAAGAACTAGAAATAATCTTAAAACATTTAAAAAATAAATATCAAATTACATGTGTATACTTTTTTTTAATTTAACACGATAATATTTAGTTATTATTATTTAGTGTAACTAATAATTTTATTTAATAATATTATTAGTATAATTAAAAAAATAACCATGTTACATGAAATCGAATTAATCCATCATCACCAGTGTCAAAAATATCTATAAATCAGTAAAATTCAATTATATGTAATTTAATTACTTTTACGTTAAAAATAATAATAATTTTACTGAACTTCAAAGCTTCGCAGCACGTGTTAACCCTTTCGTATCAGCTTGATGTTTTGTACAGCTCGTTTAAACTTGTAGTTATAAAACGTAGGAGTGAGAAAATTTCAAAATATCTCAAGGACGCACCCTAATATAAAGAGTGAATTAGGATGATATCACAAATTTAATAAGTTTCGATCCAATTTTCATTTTATTTTAATTGTTTCTTAAATGATGACCGTTAGACTACATTCAATGTATATTTTTTGATCGGTTATCAAAAATAAGCAAAACTAATTCTTATTTTTTTTTTTAACTTAAAGAAAGTAATTTTTTAGGCATTATCTCGAAAAAATGTCGATGTGTTGAAAGAATTCTAGAACTAGTATTTATCAAGTTACAAGCGTTTTAAAACAAACAGTAGGCATGGAACGCGAGTGGAGTATATGTACACCAGTACGGGCTGCACCTCCCGCACTGCTTTTCACTATATTTATTTAAATGATTGTAAGTCAACGAATACTTGTTTGAAAAATGTTAAAAAAATATTTTTTAAGAAAATTGGCTATTTCAACATTTTGAAAAATTTCATTTTTTTTTCTTATTGGTGATAAATAAGAAAAAATATTCTTTGAACGTAGTTTAAGAAAACAATAATTATTTAAAAAAATTTCAACTCTGTAATAATTGGATCAAAAGTTATTTGATTTGTCATATCTTCTTGACTCATTCTGTATACATCCTAATGTATACATATTTAAATATAATTATACATGTAATTTGGTATTATTTTTAAAAATTAATTCTTCACTTATAATGCTCTAAAATAATAGGTATTGTTATGGTGGTTATAAATTAATTCACATCAATAATTATATTTAAAAAGAGTTTATATTTTTATTAAACGTATATTTTATATTTATTGCGGTAAAAACAATTATTATATAACAGGTAAACTAAATGTTTTTTTTCTTTTAAATTTTAAACTTCATTTACCAAATGATCAAAAAATTTGTGAGTCATACTCATTTTTAGCTTCGATGCGAAGGTGAAAAGGTATTAATTTTACTATGATATGCTATTTTTGTGTTTGCTACTACTTTTTTTCAGCTCTCACCGAACAGATTTCTTTCAACGATACGCCAAAAGATCACAAATCATATCTAGTCAAAGACATTACCCTCAAAAATTGAAAAAAAATTCCCTCGTTCCCCGTAAATGGAAGAAATCTCTAAAGAAATTACAAATTTAAAAATTGCTAATTATTGAAATTGTTTTACTTAAAACGGCCATACCTTTATCAAAAATGAATAATCAATATTATTATTTTTTTTATAGATGCATGATGTCTTTTCATATCGTTTGGTATATTTTTTTTATAAATTAAACCTTTACCTGCCCACAGAGGGAGATTCAAAATAACAACTTTTTCACAAAAAATTAACTTTTGAAAGTGTTCCGGAAATACTGACACTTATATCTATATATATATATATATATTAGGGTGGCCCTCAGAAATCGAATGTCTTTTTTTTTTTTACGCTACCCCTTAATTTTTTTTTAATGGTCAAAAAAATGAGCTGTGCAAAATTTGGGACCGATCCGTTAAGGTTAACCCGTGCCCCCGGGCCTATTAAGATGAGTCGAAGAGTCAAATTTAATAGAAATAACTGATCTCTGTCTCATAATTTTTTTTTCTCTTAACTTAGAATAATAAAAGTAAAACTCAAGTAAAGTATTACGAACTAATATTTATCTTATTGGTAATTATTCCCATGAAATAACTGGTAGTAAGTTACCATCAAATTTACAACTATTTAATCTGAACACTGANCTTCTAGAATCTTATTTTAAACGAATATGCGTTTTCCAAAAACTAAAATGAAAATAAATAATTAAAAATCAACAAAATCAGTTATAACGTATTTTAAGACTTTTACATGTTTTTTACTGTATGTAGTGTTTTTGTGGGCTATTTATTGAGAAAACAACATTGAAGTTATTATTTTTGAATTTCTTGTAAAATTTCCTTTACTTGAGTTTTACTTTTATTATTCTAAGTTAAGAGAAAAAAAAATTATTAGACATNCTTTTATTATTCTAAGTTAAGAGAAAAAAAAGTTATGAGACATAGATCAGTTATTTCTATTAAATTTGACTCTTCGACTCAACTTAATAGGCCCGGGGGCACGGGTTAACCTTAACGGATCGGTCCCAAATTTTGCACAGCTCATTTTTTTGACCATTAAAAAAAAATTAAGGGGTAGCGTAAAAAAAAAAAAGACATTCGATTTTTGAGGGCCACCCTAATATACAGAGTGTTCAGTAAATAAGGAAACTAATTTCTATTGTACTCATTGTTTGTAACAATTTAACTGTTTCCTAACTTACTGAACACCCTGTATATATTTAATTATAGCTTATGTAATATAATTTATTATGGAAAAAAGATATTTCGAACTTTATTTTGTTTTCATGGTGATAACGGACATCGAAGTTAATAAAAAAAAATACGATTTCTATAAAAAAATTCTTTTTTATATTTTTAATTTTATAATACTATATATGAATACTATAACTTTTTGAAAAATGTATGGATCATTATAATTTTTTTAAGATAAGTACTATTTATATTTTTCTTTTATGTGACATACTTTTTTTTTAATCGGACCCTTTCCCTTTATATATTATAAATATATATGAATATTATTTATATATTACACTTATAAATCATAAAACTTGTAATCAGAATATAAACAAGGAAATAGAAGAATATGTTGCTTTTGGAGTAATCCATCAATTATTTTAAATTAAACATTAAATCTTCAGATTTGCATTGAAGCGTTTTTTATGATAATGATTTTAATCACTGTCAGATATCATCTATACTGGACCCAACTATGCCACGTCCCCGCTGTGCTGGGTTTTTATTTTATCTATATTTGTTATAAATTTTATTTTTTACCAAATTAATTGTATTATTACTAAATAAACAATTATTTTTGTTAGCTAACAGTAAGACCTCTGAAATGTAAAGTCCTAAAAAATTTAAATTTTTAAAGTCTAGACTAGTTTTACTAGTGACAATTTTTAGTAAATCAGCAAGGCAAAAAACTATAGTGAATAACGGACTTCAAACATCGTAATTAGTTAAAAATATTTTTCATATTTAAGTTTTTTAATTTATTTTTTGTATAACCATAAAATCATAAAAAATATAATTATTTTTGAACCATAACTATTAATATTTACATATCAAGTATGTTTTTTAATTTTTGTGAATATTTATATTATTTTACTTCAGGATATTCTATTAAAGTTAACACATAAATTTTCATATTTGTGTAACGAAAAAAATCAGTAGTATGTTAAACTGAAATTTCTATGGGTATCAATTTATTATATTGAGGACAGCGAAATCTTAAATACGCCATTGAAAGGGTTTCATCATACTTCATGTCCGTTCTAATGTCCTTTGATGTCAAAAAAAAAATGCGAACCTTTGTTTAATAATTGGGCTAGGAGATAATTTCAATACAGTAATTTTGATTTGTTGAATCTCCATTATAGTTTATCGAAAGAAAGGTTAGTCTGAATAACCCACAAAGTTATTAATTCCTTAAACTTGGATTAATTACCAATTGGTTTTGGTCGTTTAAAGATAGTCGCGCCCACTAATTGTGTAAATGTCGTGGAAACAAGGTATTCAAAGATAACTTGGGCAAGTTTTGGTTAATCGTTAGGTGCACTTCACTAAGTATGGTAGATCTGGCGGTAAAAAAAGATTATAAAAGTTCATTTTAGACGGTATGTACAACGCATGTGAATTTAGAGAAATGGAAGATTAAAACAAATATAAATAAATCGCTACAATTAGGTAGGTTTATATTGTATACAATTTTCATTTAGCGTTTTATGTTCCAACTTAAAGGCTTCCTTGCAATAACCCTTACGTTTTCCGTGTTTCTGTATTGTTTCATCGTTAATCGTAAATAATCCATGTTATTAAAACCGAGTGTATAAGTATTCTGTTAAGTCTTCCTCAACACCTGGTCGTTGAATTTCCACCACTTTAGTGGTAATACTTATAATTGGGTCTACAGTAGGATGGCCACTGTGATTTACTCACTTAAATATCTCTTGCTAAAATTAGGATTATTAAAATCATAGTTTACCAATTAACTTGGGCAAATTAATTTCTTGATTCCCAACATCTTATTTATAAAGTAATTTTGACAACTTGCTTCTAAAAAAATTTAAATTTTTAAAAATTAGTACAGTAAATTTAAATTACATGATTTTTACTTGTCCAACTTTTTTGATATCGTTAAATGATCTTGTTGAATAAACACTTATAGGTATGTAGGTATAGATGTGGACATTTTTCGTTTGAAAACAAAATATAATAAATAGTTGTTGATTGATTTATATAAAATTATTTTTACAATCCAAACCTGCTTTTGTAATCAAGAATCATTATACAATTGGCAGTTTATACGAGAAGCATTAAGGAAAAAAGGATTTTATGGCTATTTAAGAATTCATTTATGGAAACAGTAAACTATTGGCGATTTATCTGACGATGAAAAAGGCTCAAGATGTGCGATTTTATTTATTTGACGACATTAATTTTGTATTTTACAGTTATATTTTAAGAAACATAATAATACTCATAAAGTATTGTTTTCAAATGGGTAATTTTAAACGCTAAACATACTATAATGTTCATTGCTATGGAATTTACTATCCATATTATGTTTTTATGACTAATAGTTAAATTATTCACGTGCAAACGAAGAATTGTAACCGTTAAGACGGCATTTGACAGAGAAAATACGACGCATAAAAAATACTGCGAAAATAAATGAAAATGTATGTGATTGTTAATAAAACATTTAGTCATTTTTCATGCCAATTTCCGTAAAACAGCGAAACAATAAAAAAATATACGTATCGTGAATATATTTTAAAGGCCATTTGATGATAAATTCAAAAGTTTTAAATAACTGAGTAAATGATTTGTAGCTAGGCATTTAAATTTTAATTAGTTTATTTGTTCATAATCTATAAATGAATTAGTTGATGATTTTATTGAAGTTTACTGGGATACACTAGGGAATTCTATAGAACATAATGTTTCCCAGTATTTTTTGTAAATAACAAATGACTGATAAAGTTTAATGTATGATAAAAAAATTATTTACAATAGTCATTTACGCTGTTAAATTTCGATTAACTAATTTCAGTTGATTATTTCATAATTAAATATATAATATACGCATAATTTCAATTTATTATTTTTTTCAGTACAGGGAATTATTTATAATAAGATTAGATTTTAAGTTTGTATATGTTATATATAAGGTTTTAAGGTTGAATACAATATTTTTGCATTTTACTTATATTTAAAATTTCAAGGAGATTTTCAATGTGTTTTTTAAATAAAATTATTAATCATAATATCTGATAACTATTTATTAATAAGTCCATTGATCTTGCAATATCTTAAGAGGGGTTTTTATAAAATTAGATTTTGAATAGTTATTGATTATTTCAATTGGTTTTAATAGAAAATATCTTATTGCAAGAACATTTCGTCACAAACGAGATGGTTCAAACGAGTTCAATAGTTACAATCCAAAGGTCTATAAACTTTTATGAGAGAATACTTTGATCGATGAAAACTCTTGAAATAAGTAAATGTCATTTGTAATCAATTCAAAGTACTGCCTTTATCAACGACTTTTGTAGAATAGTTCAACTTTTTCTAATATTTAATATTTATTCAGACTGGACCTCAAATTTTCAAAACACTTAGTATTCTTTCAATTTATTTATTAAACAGTTCTTAAATGATGTAGTTATTTATTTATAAATTCAACAACAAATTAGTAATTTACATTTATTTGTACACGAATACAAACAATAATTACAATTAAAATAATGTTACAATATAGATTACCTGTGAATATGAGATATTCTCAAGAGTGGTAGTAGATTTAGTGATATTACTTTAAAAACGTTGACAAACTTAACTTTACAATAGAAATGTATGTTTTGTAAGAAATCTATGGAAACAGTGTATTTAAAACGCAGCCGACCATTCAGTGATATTGTTCGAATGAATAAATTATAACAATGACAATAGTAATGTAGACATATCGATAAAATGACTGTCAATATATAAAAATAAAATTATTTTGTGGCTATAATTAAAATGAAAAACATTGCTTGTTTTAGAAATGTTTATTAAAGTAATAAAAAAATAAGTTTTATTTGACAAAAAACTGTAGGTTGTATAGTGACAACGAATAATCTTGTTGATTTTGTGTGTATGTATTGAAAATTGTGAAATAAAAAATGTGTGCGATTAGTATCTTGGCGTAAATTTGGGAATGAAGAAGAGATTTAGGGCTCAGATTATTTTATACAGAGTCAATAGCACTAATATAATCTCTTTATAGGTTTGGATCGCTTTGAAAATGATTTAATTAAAAAAAAATTACAAATCACTTTTTTTTTAATTATGATTATCATTCAATTTGCTGATTTTTTTTAATTTATACAGGTTGATGTATAAAACGAAAATAATAAAACTGTAAATTCTAAAGATGTAATTATTAGTCACAGTTTCAAAAGTAGAATCTAAATTATTCGTGTTCACAAAATATATTCTAAACAAACAAATAAATAAACAAGGAAGATTTTTGTACTTGGAGAATTTATCGTATTTGTCATGTGCTGAAATGAAAAATACAGAGTTATGCGTAGGCGGCTATTTAAATGAAGGGAAATATTTAAATTGACTGTTACTGACTTAATTATTGTTTATGAGTTTTTTTTTTAACATTTCGTGTGTTTTCGTACCTTAGAATCTTATAGAACTATGAATTTGAAGTTTTCCTTTTAATTACAAAAATGTCAATAAACTTAATTATTTACTTTCGAACTTGATGATTTTGGACATTTTTTCAACGGAATACAATTATGTGTATATATTTTTTGAGGGTTTTTTATTTTATTGTTTATATTTTTTAAATGCGCACAATAATAATGAATTATAAAGTTATTGCTCAGAAACAAACATTATAAATTATCGAACAAATGGTTTTTTAGATAAATTTTGCGTTCATTATTATTTTATAGTTAAATATATATATATATATTTTTACATTAAAAGGTATAAAAGGTTTTGTGTTTTTTTACAATAAATTTAACTTGTATAAATCGTGTCGCAATAACGTGACATACATACGAGTCCCATTGTTTTTATTCATCGATTGTGTGCACGTACTGGAACGGATTTGAGTAATTTTACGGTACACCACATTTTTTGTTGTTTTTATTTTTGCATATGCCAAGTGATGTAATAAATGGAAAAACTGAAATTAATTTAGCATCGAACAATGAATGATTTTTGTTGTCGGACTTTTTTTTCAAGTAACATCAAATAGATTAATAGAAACGATTAAATACTGTGCGGGTTTAATAATTTTACACAATTACAATGTGTCAATGGGTTTTTACATCTCGACCGAGTCGTCGGCTTCCGTTATCGTTTCCAAATTGGTCAAGTCGACCACCGATACGGATGGCACTTTGGCCAACACGCCGTCGAACTTGATGTCAAAACAATCGACGGGCACCGGTTCGACGTCCACAAGCATCGAGGCGCTTGCCGGTGGTTTACCAGTGGCGATAGCCACGATTTCGGGCTGCGGATACCCGTTGTGGCCAATGTAATTAGCCATCGTCGCAGCCGAAGTGGTCGGTACGATTTTGGCACCCGAGTCGGACGGATGGACGTCCGAGCGCGAGGAGTCCAGTTGCGGGCGATGTCAAGAGTGTTCGCTGTTGCCGTGTGTTAAATCGCTGATGCTAATGCTGCCACAACTAGTCCGGTGCTCGGTGTTGTACGGCTGTGGATTGTCGTGTAGAGTTTTCAATTTGGTGGACACGCCGTGGTGCACGATATTGAAACACATGGCCGTTAACGCCATACCAGACAGTATGTACACAGAGCAGAACCACACGGTTGCCGTGTTGGTCAGCGTCATCTCCAACGGCAGGGAATTGCCATAGCCAATGGTACTCAGCAACATGAAGCAAAAGAACACGCAGTCCAGATACGATTTGCCGCCGTCCAGTTTTTGGAGAACTGCGGCTCCGCACGCGATGTACGCTGACATAAACGCGAAGCCGACCAACAGCAAAGGAACAAAACTTACGTTCTCCGGACCGGCCGACGCGCTGTCCGCTGTCGCTGAAGACGACGACGCCGGTGTCGCCGTCGATTTTTCCGTTACCCGTTGAAACACACTGTCCGAATCGCCCGGTCTCACGTAGTACGGCTCTAGGGCCTGTCCCGAAAGCGTTTTCATTTGCATGTCGTACTCCCTGCGCTCTCGTTTCAACCGCATCCGCCGCTCTTTTTCCTCCATCAGCTTCTCGTCGTAACAACAGTAGCCGCACTTTGAGCACAGGCAACAACACAATGACCTAAAGAAGATAAAAATCAAATGTCATAAGTAGTTTCAATAGTATTCGTTTCGACGTTAAACTCGATTCGTTCGACAAAAATGGTAATTTTTTTTTTACTTTTCCCGAACACTTTCAATTTATATTCTCATACGGATTACTAGGATTTTCAGAGTGTGATCGCGTCAAGTTTCGCATTCTCGTTACTATCAGGAGTGTTGACTTTTATGGAATTGTATTTTTTTTAGACTTAAGCGAAGGTTTCCGAGGAATCAGACTAGTAAACACATCGTGACACGTGCTGTCGATTTTCAATTGCTTTTTAAGCGTATGAATCTAACGTAAAAAATAATTGTTTACCTTAATTACGGTATTTATTTCATTAATATTTAGGTGCGCATTGAGCGTATGGATATTATTTAAAAGCGAACTGTTGCGTCGTTCAATGTAAATGATTTTCAGGAGCAGATTGGAAACGAAATTTGTCGCGGTAAAACAAAGCAATAATTTTACAAAAAGAAAAATATGAACGTTTTTTTTTTTTGTTGCTATCAAAAGTTTCTGTTGTGAAACGCTCATTAATCACAGCGGGTCAGGGCTGCCACCTTAGTTTCTTCGGAGAAATTTACCCATAGGAAAATCCTTCTTTGTATATTCTTCACAGAATCGTGTGAATTGGTCATCATATTTGCGTATTATGACGAATCGTATAAAACACGATTTCGAAATTTTTGCCGAGTAAAGTAATTTTTACTTGATTTTTTTCTAAGTATTTTTTTTTTTCATGTTATTTATTGCGGATAAAACGTGTCGGCGGTAGGATAACCAGTAAGGTAAAGGACGAATAAGATGTCGCACTCATAAACGTATTATTAACTTACACATTTAATACACTAAAGTTGGTTTAAGACTGGCCGATTTGTTTTTAATAATAAAAGCTTAAAAAGTGTCTAGTTTGAAATTTTAATCAACTGAAAATGTACATTTATATATTTTTTTCGTGAAATTTAATCAAGTTATTTTAAATGTCTTATTACTGTACACAATGCAATTGTGTTTTAACTGTAATTTAATCAAGTGCCATAAGACCGTGTTTCGGAATGCTAAGACGACTTACGAAAATTCAAAAGCAAATAACAAACTTTTCAATTTTGGAGTCGTATTACTTTTTTAATCGGCGCGTTGTTTCCGGGAACGGTGTCATTATTGAACGTTCTCATAAATACCTGGTGAAGATTCCTCTGGCACACCACGCCAACAGTCCGCCGACACTCGACAGGTAAACTAACATCAGAGGTATGCCGATCAGTGCATAGACCATAGTGGCCATTTTTCCAAGAGCCGTTTTCGGTGTAATGTTCCCGTATCCTGAAAATAACAAACTTTGTTATTGCCGTGCACCTGCAAAATCGTTTTTTTACACAACAGAAAACCGAGTGACCGCCTCAGGTCGGCTAACGGCGAATTAAATCGACGCTTTTGTACAGGTGAAATGGGAAAAATCGTCGCCCGGGAAGGAGGCGAAAACGACAATTCGCCGGCCGAGTGATGCACATCACTCAACTGAGTGCTTCCTAAATAGTTTAACGTCATCTCCGGTCATAGGTCGGAGTGTACAAAGGGCCGCGAAGAGACGAGCGGCGAAGAGATAGCGTCCTAACCTGTATTTCTCACATCACTTATTTCGACGACGACAGCCATTAAGATAGTCCTTTTGTAATGACAATATCGAGTGGGCCCCGACACTTTTTAGGTCACCTGTCCATTTCACTTTTAAAACTTTTCATAGCGTCCAGTTTAAATCGCGTTTGAAACGTCGCAGGCACTAAGTCGTCTGAACAGTTTATAAGCCAGTCAAACAGCAAAATAGTAAAACGTTTTCCAAAAAAAATGTTCACGTTTCAAAAAGTGCATTTCATAGAAAAGTTTTCAGAATTTGTAATGAGCGTTTGATTTTACGAAATAATTGACTTTGCTCTTTTTAGCTCAATTATCACTGGTAACAAAATGACGAGAAAAATTGCCGGGCCGTGCAAATGTAGCGGAGCCTTAAAACACACTATATATTATTATTTGAATAGAAAAAATAAGGAAATTAAAATATTATCATTAAACTTATACATAAACGTGGTTTTAATGTCGAACAAGACAGTTGAATCGTAAAGTATTACTTCAAAAATAAATTGATTGTTGTTTTCATTGCATTGTTTTTTAATTTTCCCAGAATAACGCCCTGTTTTAAACATCATATTAATATTAGCATTTCGGGGATTCATCAAAAACCCGATTTCCAATCAACTATATTTGTAAATAATTTTAATAGGAAAATTGTAAATATTGCAGAGATTTTTTTATTCGCAACGTTCGAGCGACGACAAACAGCAGACGAAATTAAAAAGTGTACGAATTTTCCACGTATAATAAAAATAAATTATTTCAATAGGAAAATATGTAAAAGAGCAGTTGTTGGAATAAAAACTTTTTGGGTGTCCGTGATTATGGCGACATAAGGTCGTGATTGCGATTTTTATACTGCGTTCGATTGATGTCGGAAAATGTTTATAAAGTTTTCCGGGTAAGATGTTATGTACAAAATGGCACAATGACTTTTATTTATGAATAGCCACGGCGCGTTCACAATGAAAATATGTGAAAAATGTTTGTCTGGAAAAACGACAAAAATCGTTAGGCTTTTATTAATGGCTTCTTCACGAGGAAATTGCTCGAGTTGTGTACCTTTGTTGCATTCATATTGCGGTGTCGCGATTTCACATTGCCCGCCGTTGTCAATGAATAACTGTACGCGACGATGAATTTGTGATTTTTTACCCGGAAACTTATCATCAACAGGTAAACCGCTCAAAAAACCGATTTGCCGAATTCGAGAGACTAAAACTCCAAGTCGAATATTGTACGGGAACTTTTTTTTTTTTGACACGAGTCTATTTGCGGTACCACAAAGTATTTTCTATTTACGTAATTCGCACTGGAATAATGTACCGCGAGAACAATTTAAAATTAAAATCGTTACTCGACGCAATTTACTACGTAGTTATATACATTAGAGGGCGTGTCGAAAATCTTGGGTCCTTAGCTGTTTATGAATACATAATTAGCATGTCGTCGTTATGTCAACAGTGTCTCATAGTTCCATGGCCGAGCTGTGTGTGAAATTAGCCTTTCGTCAAATAAATAGTGCTGACAAATAGCATTCGAACAACCGCTGCCGAAAATACGCCCACCCGTGTTGGGTAAACTAATTTTTAATAGAAAAACAAAAAAACGGTATTTGATAATTAGTCGGTCAAGTTTTCAACTAGATTTAATTGGTGCGGCTAAAGTTGGTTTACTTTTAACGAGCGATTTTATAGGCGATAACAACAGGTGTAACGAATTAATAATAAAAAGTAAAAATACCATAATTATTTCTACGCGAATAATTTAATGGATATGTTAAAATAATTATGTTTTTTTTAAGTTAGTAATCATAGGCATAAACGATTATTTATATTTTTCAACGGCAGTTTATAACTTAATAATTATATTTTATACTTTTTAGATTTAAATTAAACTTAAACAATGATTTTTTCAAAGACAGTATTTAAATGGAAAAGTTTGCCAATTTTTTATAGAAATTACATATTTGCATTTTAACTGTTATTTGGCTGTGCGCCAGAGAACACCTTGTAGCTCAAAATAGAAAACCAACGGACTTGTGAATATTTTTAATTACTGTTTGGTTTCCTTTTAATTTATTGATGATTTTGGATTTGGGTTGAATACGAAATACTAGTAATGAATTTACATTACTGTGGGAACATATATAAATTACTGTTAATGGATAACTTGGGCTTGGTACAAACCATGGAAAATTGCGCATACCTTTAAACGTCAATCGCAGAGTAACATATTATTTTCAATTGGTTGTAATATACACATACGAATGATTTTATCGAAATCTCTGTGCCACCAACAGAGAATACTTCATTCGAGACTTTTTGTCAACCAACTTTGTGTTAAAATTATGATTTTTGTTATTCAGTTTTTAATATAATATTTCGGTATGTTTTATTCGTCATGTAAATTATTCGAGAATAATTTCATGTGCCCTTTCTTGGCCCGGAGAGTATCAATTTTTCGAAAACTGGCGTCTATGAAGATGTTTTCGGGCTATATTACTGACGCTGAGAGGGTTTCACTTTCTTATTTTTATTTGTAGCGAATAAAAAAAAAAAAAAAAAAAAA